TGTGCTCCTAGATTGTAACTCCTCCTTGATTAAGCGCCGACTCTACATCGATCAGGCTTGAGAAATAAATTCTCTATTGATCAAGTATAATAAAGCTTAAACACAAACATAAACGTATCAATTTGTTGAACTCGCGAAATTTTTATTTTATTTTATTTGCGATTAATATAGACGACTTGTACACAACGCCGTGCCTGTTTAATTTATTTCATCTATAAGCTATAATCTAAAATCCTGTCAGAGAAGAGATCGATACTTTCATTTAGCTATGTGTTCGCAGCAGTGCCTGAAGGCTGAATCAGGCGGCAGATTGTCGTCACGGAGTGTAGCGCGAACCAGGTCTGAAGACTACGAATCTTCCGTGTGTTATGATTAGAGTTTGCGATCCTGGGCTCCTCCTGCTTTGCTCTCGCGACGTAATTCGCCGCCGCAATCCGTCCTGTAATTCGTTCACGTGCGCGTCGCACTCGAATTGACATTCGGGACTCGTCGTCGCTGTAATACCGTAAAACGTTCTCCTCGTTCGCGCGACAAATTTCATGCAAATTTTGCATGCGCGCATTCTCGGTGCCAGCAGACGCGCGGTCCTGTTTTTCTCGCATAAAAAGGCGGTGCAGCGACGCGCGTTCACGGCGTGTTTTTCAATGAGGAAACGCGAGCCATTTAAGCGCCACTTAAAGAAAAGCAACAAGTAAAAGAGGGCGAGACTCGTCCGTCACCTTACGGCCGCCACCTTCCAAACCACCCCACGTGTGCGTCAACGCCTATTTGCACATACGAGGTAACACTTCCGGCCATACTCAACTTCCTGGTGTTAAAGTTGGCTCGGGTAATCGTAAAATGCGCACGATAAAATTCCTGAGTAAAACGAGACGCGACAAAAAAAGGACAGATATAATTATAAAGTAAAATATAAAAAAGCGTAACTAAAAATAAATTGGCATCACGTCTTTGTGCTATGCAATTTTGAGACCAGAATAATCCGTGTACGTTGTTAAAATATTATGCATTGCAAGTGTTTCATCTTTTGCTCTGACTTTTATTCTGAGTATATTCATATATACCGGATAATTTTTTGATAAATTGCATATCTTTTAACGGTAGCTGCTGCATAACTTAAAATTAACTCGTTGACGTTTGATCGCAACGTTGTCACGTCTGATTACAATTCAGTTTGCATCCTAAATCAAATCGCGCGTGACCTGTGAATGAGATGAAAATTGAATCGTGCATCAAACATTCGACATGCACCTTCGATTTATACCTCGCAATTGTGCGTCCCACCTAGATTTGTGAGTGGTGTTGCGGGATATGCTTACCCGATCTATAAATTTATCGAAGGCACGAGTCGCATGTGCCTTCAAGAATTAATGTAACTCAGGAGTTTATGGAACACGTTTCTCATTTATTGGCAGTCGACGCGGCCACCTGATGTGTATCGGTCGTTCGGATCTCGGCATGAAATAAATACGTACAGCTGGGATTGAAATCGGGCAAAAAAAATACAGGGAACCGTGGAAAGTATTATCTGATTTATACGGATGATGTAAATGCAAGCTGCATGTTTAAATAATACGATGCACCACAAACGAAACGCGCGTCCATTGTTTCAGGCTGCATTGAATTTAATTATAGGTGATGAATCGCCGCGATGACGTACGTTTTTATTAAATCTCGTCATAATGGAAAAATTATAAATGATTATTATCAAGAAATATTACGTATAAATTCGAGTAGCACGCAGAGCACACGATGAAAAGATTCTTTCTCATCTTGTCTCTAGCTATTCTTAATTTTTAGAACAAAACCCGAAAAAATCCATGTTCTCCTCTTAATGAATAAGCAATCGGTGAAAAGAGAAACGGTGAAATTGTCGCCGCGGAATTGCGCCGTATCGACCCGTGCTTGCTCGTAACAATTCTCTGGGCTGGTCCGTAAATTGTAATTTTTGGAGAACGACCGCCATCGTTGCCATCGTCGTGCCAAACCGCGCGAAACTTCGGTCCCGGGTGTATTTCCAGTCGTGCGCTTTAGCCTGATGAAACTTTTCTCTCCCGTTCCACATCCCGCGTGACGGTACCATTTTCCCGAATCGTCAGCGAACCGTGAACGCGCGGATCCCTTTTCCCCTCATTTCCGCGAGAGTTAGGAATACACTCTCTCGTGGAACTTTGATGGTATCGAGTTATGACACGTGGAAATAAATAAAATTGATCATAAAAATTCGCGCGATTAAATATTTTTCGGCCGGCGGAAAATGCCGGGATCGCGTTTGTCAACGTAACAGCGTTAAACGCACCTAGCTGTAAATCTAACGCGTTTCAGAACGGCCGTTTCGGGCGACTGGCCCTTTGATGTCTAACGGCGGATCGTGCCGTTTGTTTCCTCTTCATCGCAGTTTTTTGTTTTTTATGGATGATACTCGGCTGTCGTTTGCAACACTGCACTTGCTCGAACATGCTCGCACGTGGACACACGTACGGTTGCAGTTGGAAACGCAGGCGAGTCTCTGCATGGTGTATTGTTGTATTTTTCGTGAACGAACAACGTCCACGGTGAATTTGAATATCAAATATCAAACTTGATTGAACATATAGATATAAAATTTTATTGACATAAAAATCTGCTCGATGTAAAATGAAGAATAAGATTTCATTAGCTATGTAATCTTTATCTATCGTCTTTATTGTAACGAATCTTAAAAATAAACTGAGCAAATTTATTTTTAGTTCGCGCACATCTTTCGGAAATTCGAAAATTGTGAAGAATGATGATGAAGAATGTTGGGCATGAAAAAACACGGAGGACAAACACGTGAATAAAATTATTATCCGTTACACCGATATTTTTTCGCAACAAAATTTATGAGGCATTGCTACTGAGGCATATACATCTCGAATACGATAAACATTTTCTGGCATAATCAAAGGAAAAACTGTATAAAGATATTTAAGAACTATGTCTAACTTTTGAACGATTATCGTCTTTATTCCTGATTCTTTTCAAAATTCAAAGGAACGTAACGATAAATCTGTTAATTTAATTACGATTTTTCTTCGTGTAATTGAGAATGATAAAATAAATATGAAAAATTAATGAATAAGTTAAAAAGATAACAAAAATAGAGAAAATAGAATCGTTTTATGATAGCGCTTGCGCACAGCGAAATACTCTATTCCTGCAGACATTTAATTTTCTGAATTTATATTACATTTAAAAATAATTAAGTATTACTGTAGACACTCTTGGGAGTAATTATACGGTTATTATTTTACGTTTACCCGAGAGCTGCTTCTCATAACAATCACTTGTTAAAGTATGATAAAAAACTGTATAAACATTTATATATAATGTTCAATATTAATTTTAATAATAGTAAGTTAATATTAATGCGATTGCGTCTGTTTCTTTACAAAGTGTAATGAAATGTCCGTTTAAAAAGACGTAATGAACGCGTCACGCTCTTTTATTCATCGTCCAAGAGACAGCGGTTCTTAGTATTTCCCAGTACGCTGCACATTGTCCCGTAAATTTAACTGACAACTCAGGGACGATCTTAATATGGTATAATTTCCTCCTTTTTTTTTTTAAGCGAGTACCGTGGAATCAATATATTCACTTACGTCAGAGGTGTTCTTGGTAATTGAAATACTATCGGGCTGGGTTAAAACTCGAACAAGGTCTGAATAAGGAATTTACCATTCCTTCATGATAGATTAATAAGCAATGGAGCAGGACATAATACCGTGAATAGCGCGGCAACCGAGTATCCTTCATAATTCAAATATTTGACACCGAAATTACGGGAGATACGGGAGTTCACGAGTCTATGGGCAGCATGGCAGCAATTAGACGGCGTAATAACGCGTAATGCGCTCGTTGAAGTAAACGCGCAGAAATTATTTTCGGAAGAAAGATATTATGGAATCTGTAATGCGATAGCGATCTAACTGACCTAGTTTATTATCCCTAGCCCGAATATGTGCATATTTAATTCCGCCTTGCCGTTTTAAAAAGGTAACTGCGATTTTTAAATAAACTCGCGAATGATATTTAGTGCACAAGTATATTTTTCAACGAAAACGTTCTTTTTTTTCTTTCGTTGTGCGCCTTTTTCGCGAGTTTTATTAAAGCAATGGGCTTTTGGCTGCGATGGTGGTATTAAAGTGGAGAACTTTGCTGGCAGTGTAAGTCGGCTTTTACGGTCGGGTCTCTCGTGAACTCCAATTACGATAGTAATCCTTAATATACGTTCGTCTGCCGTATGGAGCTTCTCTCGTTCTATCGCGCGCCTACCAAGTTCTCTCGCTACCTACCGTTCTAATTCTAAATTGATGCGTATGCAATTCTTAATTCTAAGTCTTAACTCTAAAGCAAGGGGATAATTTTGGAATTATCTAACAATGCCTGTGGGCGAAATATTTGTGAAATATGATCAATTCACAGATATATTAGAAAATATCCAAATATCCTTTTTCTTTTAAAATATAACTTTACTGCGAGATGCTCTTTATGTAAGAGAAAGATAATATAATTATGTGGATATAAATCAGAAAAGATATTAATACAGTTTAAGAGCTTCTTAACGATCAATATCATATGTTTTTATTTCTTATGCGCTTTACGGAAACATTGAAATGATAAGAGCTTCATTGCTAGATTCATATCGATTGATAGAACGTAACGCTGATATATGGAGGAGTAAAAACCACAGTGGTGTAAGTCAAATTTTAAAAAATATTTTCTTGTGTGCATAGATGCAATCTGTACAATATATAAATTGCATCTATACACACGAAAAAATATTTTTAAAAATTTGACTTACACCATTGTGGTTTTTATCCCTCCAAATATATATATATATATATCATGTTTCGTGCAATGCTTAATTCATATCTTCACGCGCCGCAATCACGGAATAGAGGCACCGGCGAACTTTTAATGATCCCAACGGAAGAAAAGGAATTTCATTTGTGAACTCAAATCGAGCTTACCGGACCTGTTTAGAGATGTTTGAAGTTCCGGGCGTAGTAATATTTCGTGATTCTATGAAGCACTCGCGGAGCACCAGTCTCGCGCTTTAAATTATCGCTGACTTGCTGAGTCCCTCTGGCTTTCCATCCTGTAACAAAAAAGAAATGAAAAATATAATTTCGAGTACGTCTGACACAAGAGGGAGAACGTGAAAGAACCACTAATTATTTTGATTCAGTCGACAATAAAGCGCTTCATACGTGCGTCATAACGCGTTGTTGGACGAGCTTATCGTCGGATTCGTTAGCTTCAATGGCGGTAAAATGGCGCGTCAAACGGGTATAAAGTAACATCGCTAGCTCGCAAAGCTCGCTTGAAATTTCAGCAAAGCGGCAAAGTGAAATGCTTTAACGTCCGGTTCCCAATTAGTAACGTCGTATGACGAGAAATATGTTATCGATTCAACGCTCTGGCCCCCGGCGAATCTTTCATTTTGCATAAATATTGACATACGGTCTAACGGATAATGTGTAACAAGATGCGATCGTAATCAAATCAGCGTGAATCTCGATAATTAAAATTACTTCATTTAGCACTGACACATTGCTGCGCCATATTGCACGAGATCAAGATTTTTGATTAATTTTGATTAACGAGATTTTTTTGAATAATAATTTTAGTTAAATACACACATTCTATCTATATTAGTGTGGAGTCTCAATTGTAATATAATTATTTATTCTGTGAATATAATGTAGAATACGATATAATATGGAATACCATATATAAAACATGTAGGAATATATTCATAATATAAATTTTAAACAATATCTTTCTCATGGTGCCATAACGGTCTTCTTCATTAGTTCTGTAACATCATAGCATAGTGCATTATTGCGCTTGTCGAACAGCCGCTGGTTCATTGCGGAGTTTATACAAGATCGTTCATATAGTGTCAACATCCAAGATTTATTACATACTTAATACACAAAATCGATTTTCCATAAATCAAAGGATATTAATAAAAGTCACGTCAATGAATATTACTTCACGATAGTATGTGTCGCTCAATCTGGTAAAGTAGTTTTGGCTCCGTAGCTGAGAAGTATCGTTAAACATGTAAAATCATGCACGCGAGGAAAATATTTTTCGTTTTAATAACTTCGTTTTAATGATGTGGATGCAGACGAAAAAGTACGGAGTCATAATCATCAGACTAAAACTTCGTATTACGGTGTATAATTGCGGTACGAACCGTTGATGAAACATGAGGCAGATAAAGACTCGTTTGATCATAATTACGAAATAATCTGACGCTAAATATTTGAAAACCGCGTCGGTGAAGTTTCGATAAATGTACAGTATGCATATTATGAGATAATTATAAATATTATACTCTTTTCATTTAATTACATGGTATAGAAGTATAGGTAAACAGAAGTTTGCAAATTGCATTTCGAGATTGTTTGAGATATACATGGAATAATTCACTTTAGCGAGTCTGGTTTTTTAGTCCAATAACCAATTTTCACTTTCTGGAGGATTCACGTTAAGCACGTATTCTAACTTGACCCTTCTTCCGGAAGCTTTTTAAAATTTCCATAAATCGATAAAATCGGATAAAGAGCATTAGCATTTTTTGTTTCTCCGAAGGATGCAAACTTCCATCGAGAGTGATTTACAAACTCTTCCAGTTATTGACTTTCTGAAACTTGACTGAAATTTTGCAAAACAAACTTTTTATAAGATCCTTAAAATTGTTAATCCATGATACTTACTACTTAAACACTTATTTTGAATCATGTAATCTTATAAAGAGAATATATATATAATTATGACATTTCAAAAGCAACGTCACACGTTTTCCTTAATAAATAAAAGATATCTTTGAGATACCTTAGTAGAAAGTGCAGAGAATCTAAAAATTCGTGTTCAAATTCTTAAAAATAAAAACTTTATGAAAAATTTTATGAAACTATAATCTCTACTTGCATTAAATTATATAGACATAAATATCGTTAATTAAGATAATTAGCTTCAGGCGCAATTAATTTCACTCGAGGGAATTGTGTCAGCCGATTCGATGTCGATATCCCAGCTCCGCTTGAACCCTCCGTATTTTTTGACCGTCGGGCAAAACTTATCCGGAAATTGCCGCCTTCCTATTTCGGGAAGAGGCAAGCCGAACCTGGATTGCCGGATTTCCGCGTTCGGCGAGACACGCCGTCGAAATCGCTTTTTATCATCCCATAATGCTCGCTTTCTAACCGGGAGGAAGATTTGATAGGGACATCAAGAGGGTGAAAAGAAATTGGGGGATGATTGTATCATTAGACTAAATCGCGATGGAAGAAATGTAAGAAATCGATACTCGCAACAGTCTTAATACTAGAACAAGAGATATTCTTGGATTTTGTGATAATTATATAGCAATGCGATTCAGCAGCTGTTCTGTTTATAAATAATTTACTTGTTGACGAAAATTTGTATTCAATTTAATTTTTTATTAATATTTATAATGTAGGTTATAAATAAAGTATAATGTAGGTGTAGTTTTGAGCAAATTACAAAATACATATAAAATTTAATAAACGTAACATGATATTAGATTACGCCAGTAGAATTAATTTTGCGTGATAAATATTAAGCAAAAAAAATTACATTTGAAAGGATTTTTCCTGATCTTTTATTGTGCTTGATAAATAGGCGAGTTCGATGTAACATTTGTCAGTGACACGTTTGCCGCCTCTTTCAGCAATAGGCATATTCAGCAATCAATAGAGCAAACTGTTGATTCTGGCCCGAATGATGGCTACGACTACGGATTTTATTGGCGATGCGAGAGGCGAACTGAATACACCGAAGGAATCAATCGATCTCGAGTGCTATCGATCTGTTTACAGGAAACAGGGAATGTTAAATAGATGAGGGAACGCAGAAGTTTCAACGACGATGATTAAAGTATTTTATCTAATGCATTCCTAATTTTATTCTCTTAAGTATGCACGCGTATTCAAAACTAAAAAGAACGATGAGATCTTTGAGACACATAAAAAAAGTCTCTTCTTCTTTTTTATAAGTAATATATTAAATAATCGATTAATTAAAACAGTTCGATTTTCGATGTTAGAAAGCGTCTAAACATATGCGAGGCACATTAATTAATGCACTTTAACGTGCAAATACGCACGTTTAAGTATCATGAAGTTGCGCGTAACGTATAATTGTGCACGCAACTCCTGACCTTTCGACAAGATGTGTGAACTTACTCGAAACCTGTAAATTTGATTAGCACATGGAGAGAGGATAATATCATCACCAACACGATAATCGTTTTACGAGAAACTTCGTGTTTGACATAGCGATACGATGCTTTCACATCTAAGTACCAAGAAGTATCTCGATAGTATCCAAATACCAATTCATGTGAGTAAACGGTTAATCGCGTATATAATATTGCTATTTTAACCCCGTTTTCCTGTGCAAAAAATTACTGATTAATATTCTTTTAAAAATATTAAATTTATCTTACAATTAGTTTGTTATGTGTATTTGGGTATAAATACTTAAATATCTTAATATGTTATTTTTTGACAAATGTTTTGTACACGCACATATTGGGCTACCCTCGAATAAATCGCGCGCGCGATTCGCCCTGCTTATTGTTAACAAGAAATGTCATATAATTCGTTTGTGTGCCCAGCTTAAAAGTTCCATCGTTATACTTTTTCCGGTCATGACCGTCTTTCTATGGGCCCGCGGATAATCCTCTTGCAAGAAAGAAAAGCAGTCCCCGATATACCCTCACAAATCCGCTTTCTTCGGCCGTTCCTTCGAACACGAATTCCGGTCGCAATAGCAACATTTTAGTTCCCTCCTCTCTTCTTCTTTTCACTATAAATACGAATCGCAAGCTCCATTCCTCGTTAGAGGAAGAAAGATCCGCAAGACAGTCATGCGCTACGTAAGAAAGAGGCAGAGTAACAATGAAGGGTCGAGAAATATCAGTATATAGATAATTTAATTCTATATTGCTAAATAAAAATGTTATTTTTATTTCATCATCATTTATTTTATATGTATTTTTTATTCAATTGCTAATTAAATTCAATTAATTATTTTTTAAAACTCTATTTACTATTAAAAATCCAGATTTATTCAATTTTATTAATTAAAAAAATTATGTTATACTTTATGTGAACATGGATATGAAATTATTGATAAACACTACTGATTGATACCCTTCTTTCTTTTCTTTACTCATTTTCTGTTCAAAGACGCCGAGAGATTGCGTGTTTTCGTGACGAAAAATCAGAATTTTATTTTTACAGGGGTTTTCGTGAAATTAGATATCGGCCACCTAGTTTTCACTCCACAATTGGGGGAGATTCGACAAGCAATAGGGGTATTCAAATAAGTTAGAATTTAACGGTTTGACAGGTTATGTCGGGTTAAAGTCGGGTAAAAAGTTAATTTTTACACTTTTAACCCAAAGATTAATGTGATAGGTTAATGAAACACTTATGTATTTTGCATAACCTTAAAGAGTAGCGCGCCCAAAGTTAATTAATTAACTCGAATTAACTTTTTACTCGACCTTAACCCGACATAACCTGTCAAACCGTAAAACTTTAACTTATTTGAATACCCCTAATATTCTAAAGCCTCGACGTGCCTTGGTCGTGCGCATTCGACTTCTTTGTTATATCACCTTTCGTCTTAGTTCGCAACTCTCGATCTCTCGCGCTTCGCTCTCGATGTCGCTCCCTCGAGCCGCTTTCACGCCCTCAAGATTCTCACGACTTAAAACCCCTGTGAGAATCTGTAGTAGCGAGAGATATACATCGATGCGAGGGGACTAATATCGCGGCCGGAGGAAGAGAGAGAAAGAGAAAGAGACAGAATGAAACAGGGAAAAGAGAGGGAGAGAAGAACGCGAGTGAGAGAGTCAGCAACTCTCATCCGAAATCGATAGAGCTTAAGACCCTGGACAACGAGGGTTATCAGGGTGCTCCAACATCACAGCTTCGGCCGATGCTATTCTGCAGTTCTTTTTCGGCTGATGAAGCTCGGGTGCTGAATGTTGAAGTGTGTAACCCGCATTCGAGGGACAAGGGAAACATTTCGCCGTGTGTATGTTCGTAACAT